GTAAACATTTCTAGTGAAATCTATCTCCCATGTACTTAGCACTGTGCAAAGATCATTTTACCCAGATCTTTTGCAGTTAGATGTACCCTAAAGACAGCTATCCAATAATGTCTTGTCTCCTACTTCCTGGATGGTGTTGTTTCTAGTTTTTAATGTGTGTGTTGGGAGGGTGGGTCAGGGGAAGGGTGTCACCACCTCTTGAAAACTAGCTCTCCAGGAAGGATCCAATCAAGTCATCTACACTGTGACTTTCCCTCATCTCCTCAGGACAATTGCATTTAAATGCTTAAGTCACAGGAATGAGGCAGTAATCGTTGCATTTCAGAAAATAGCCTTTTGGGAAGCTTAGGGGACATGAAAATGCAGTCTCCCTAGAGCCTCTGAAAGTACAGTGTGTATGTCTGCCTTTCTCAGTTTAGGCAGATGCTTCAAGTCCTGGTTCCAGATTGCCCTGGAATCTTAGAGTCTGGTTTGATCAGTTTATGATCAACCCCAGAATGACAGAAGCATATGCACAGAGAGGACTTGTATCAGGTGAAGTGAAATAATTATTTCCTTAGTGAAAAACTAACTTAAATTCTAGGTTACTTATAGTAGCTGCTTGCTGGATGGAAACCACAAATTTAAAGTTGTGGCGATTTTTTTTTAAATATTTGGGAATATGTTTCAAGCAATAATATAGTAAGTGTGCAATACTTTCATTAGGTAGATTGTTCTGACTTTGGAAGGACGAGAAGAAAACTGTTATGGCAGTCTGCTTTTATTTCTCAGGATAAGCATGGACATGCCTTTCGAAGGGCAGCTTTGATCATATGGCTAACTTGACATTTGGACTGACGAGTTTAATCTCACCAGGGATGGTTCTGGATTTTAGAGTTCCCCTGTCCAAACTACAACATGCTTACTGCTTTCTCCCCCGCATTTCCCACATCTCAGCCTCCAGGCCCAGCTACTGACAAGTCAGTTTGTCTGTTTTCATTGGTCTGGCCACATAAGGAACATCCTGTTTCTTTAAATCCTCAGTGCTCAAATTACCATGTAGAAACCAACTCCCTATCAATTTTCTCCACATTTAATCCTCAGCTCCTTGTCATATTTTCATTTTTCTGCATTGGTTCCCATGGTAACGAGTTTATTGGCAGAGAAAGTGTGACTCTGCTTTTAGCCTTCCACACAATACAAAATCCTTCTAGTGATCCTCGGGCAAGTGTCCTATTAAAAGGCAGGGAGAGACTAGTTCCCTAGGCTAATTCCTCTAATCCCTTACCCTACTTGCATGTTTTTCCCACCTATCCCCAAACCAGATCCACTGCCCAGAATCCCTTCACCTTTTGATACAAGTATTCAAGCACCACCCCCTCAATTACAGATGCGAGGATTGAACCTTTTTGTTCAGATGGCTTCCTCTTCTAAGTGTCAGTAGCTTAACTGACATAAATGTATAGTTGATGGCAGTGGCCATTTGAAGGCAACATGGGAGAAGCAACTTGCACTCATTTTTCACAAAATATCCTCAGGATGCACCTGAGATGTATACAGACCAGGGAATAAGTATGTCCTGAATTGAGCCTTAAGTCAGTGTCTAATGTTAGGGATGGGGATATTTAAACAAGTTTTCTTCGACTAGTTAGTAGTACATGGGGGAAAGCCAAGGAGTCATCCCAGAGAACTGAGCTTCTGAGGAAGAGGAAGAGATAACAAAGATGTAGATAAGAAAACACTGTAACTGGTGGCTGAATGTGAGCAAGGGAGCTTCAGTTGGGACAATTCAGGGGTGAAGTAGGGAAAAGGTAAGAAAACCATTGAAAGCTAGGAAATGGAGCATAGAGAAAAAAGGAGTGTTTGAGTTAACTGTCTGCAGAAATGGAGCCTGCAAATGAGAGAATAGCTTTATGCAGATTTTGGCCCAACTCCATCTACAAAATGTTTTTCCAAGTAATGTTTCTCTTAATAACAGATTATATTTTGTTTTGAATTTTAGCATTCCACTGTGGCTTGGCAGTTAGTTGTATGCATAGCAACCCCAAATCTCCTATGTCCTCAATATTCAGGAAAAAATCAGGAACTGTTCATCAGAAATTAAACAGTCCTCATGCTGAATGTGCTTTTTATTATTTTTTGAAAAGTTAATGAATTCAGGGGAATGAAAATAGATGTTAGAAATAAAAATGTGGGTATCTATAGTTAAGAAAATTATCAAATGTAAAGTGATTCCTTTTTTTGTTGGGTCTTATAAAATATGTGATGCTTAAGCACACTGAAGTTTTAAAGTCAGCTGATAATATTGTACAAAGGTATTTTTCACCCTTTAAAGGTTATTTTCCTACATTAAGAAAAGTTTTCTTATATTAAAAACTTTTTATTGTGACTCAGGTTTTGTGTCTTTGTATAGACACACATATGTAGGTATTTTTCTTTGCACACTTGTTTTGCACAGGTAAAGCAATGAGATTAAATAATGCCCGGGTATTCAGGTCAACTGACTATCATTATAGCTAGATTAACAAAAGCATTTGATGAATGGACAAAAGAAATCATATGATAACTCTTTGTATCTTTCCATCTCTCTTCCCCTTCCCCAGCACTCTACTAAAGAACATCTCTTATTTAATCAGGAAACCTTATGTAATTTTTTGGAAAGTCCACAGGAAAACCAAGTTGCAAGTCTCAGGCAGGTAGAACATAAAACAGTTCCCATATTTATTAGAATGATTAGTTTTCAGAATGTAGTGCCAAAATAAATTCTATATTCAATACTTGTAGAGTCCTTCCTTGCAGAGGCCTCTTACTGGTCTTGAATGTGGAAAAGGCATCTGTTCAGGGCAGTGAGTAGTGCTGTATGTTAAGTTTTACTCTGGAAATTTGGTTTTAGCTTTGGTGACACCTAGTGTCAATGGAATGCAATAAATGTTTTATACTGCTTGATGATGTTTAGGTTATTTCCCTTTAACAACCTCAACTACATTTTCTCCTTGAAAACGCAAGCCTTACTGTTTTCTGTGTGAAAGGAAGAGAAAGAACATTGATAGGCAGATAGGATGGATAGTTCGGTCTCAAAGCCGGTCAAGTTTCTCTTTGTACTAGGCACAGAGAAGGGACTTAAAGGAAGCTTAAGGACAGTGGCATTGTCCTCATATAAAGGAGCAATTTTTTCCTAGTTAAAAATCAGAGGTGAATCTACTAAATTGTTTGTAAATTTCAAAGACCATCTCAAATAACCTTGCAAAAAGTAAGGCTGCAAGTACTGTAGTTTCATTTTTCCTACTTTATAACCACCCAAGGGCACCCCCACCCCAGCTGTATATAAGTAAAACATAATGTGAACTATGGTCTCTTTCTACTCAGAGAAGAAATATTAACAGCAGCAATTCTAAATACACAGTGCTAGACTTTTAATTGGTCTGTAAAGAATTATAAGTAAAAGGATAACTAGATACTAGGATTTTAGAATTTTAAGTATCCATGAAAATTACTCTTTCATTCCTAAACTACTTGGCAATTCCTTACTTTGGACGTTGGTTACTTAGAGGGAAACAGTCCTTTTATTACTATATAAAGAAGTTCTAATTCCTACTATTTATATTAATTTTTTTCCATATGCTAAACACACACAGACACAGACACATAAACTGTCCATTTTCCTTTGACATCATATAATTCAGCTAGTGAAATATTTCACTCTTCTGTAGGTTTAAGAAAAATTCCTATGCGGTGATGCAACATTGGCCCACTATTTTAGTAAGATGAAGACGGTCTCTAGACTCATTCTTTTTCAACATCTGACTTCACTACCATATGTGCAGCACAACAGTGACATCTTAAGGCCAAGTAACTAGAATTCCTTTAGCCAGAGAATTGGGATCTGTTTTCAAAGAAATTTCATTATGTTATCAAGTTCACAGTTTGCAACTGGTAGATCTTTATAAATGCTTCTTTATGACTTCTTTTGCGGTCTTTGTGAACATTTTAATGTGCACTGGTAAACACTAACATTTTACATAGACATATTGTATATTAATGCATGCATTTCATTGCATAGTTTATGGACACTCCCCTTGTAAAGCTTTTATGGAAGAAGCAACAAGCCACAGCAGTATAGCAAAAGAGGCTTAATCTTTATAAATTGGGGCCTTTTCTGTCTCTTTGCTAGGCTAGGTGGCTGTATACAAATTTGGGTGGGAGGGGCAGGAAACACCTCTTAACATTTAAGGTTTTCTACGTGGGTAAACTGTAGCCAATTCAAAACAAATTGCTTACTTTAATAACAAATTTTACCATTTTATAAAAAAAATTAAATCATGACATGTTTAACTGAAATGGCTGTATTGTAATTAATATTTTGAGATAATTGTGATTTTGAGCTTAAATTATATATAAAAAGTTGTCATTTTTGTATGTGTTAAAAAACTGTATCACAATTAACAGTACTTTTTAGTTAAACTACATATTGATGTAAATAAAAACTGAATGAAGACATATTTACTACTTTATTAACATAGATTGTGAATGTACTTAATGGGTTTTTTTTTTTTTTGCAGTATGAGACCATAATGACCTTGAAAGCTGCTTCATTTTATGTGCAAAGGAGTCCTATGAATCTATATTTTAAATTTACTGAATCAGTGAAATTACTTTGTCAGTTAATTTGCAAATGCAAGCTGTATTCTCCAGTTTATTTTATGTACTGACACTAATTGGTAAAGGTGTAAAATGTGATTAGAATGCATTTTGAAGATGCTTTCTGTACAGATACAAAATACAGGGACTAAAATAATGCTGTGCAGTGTATAGCAGAGCCATTTTTCGGCTTTGGTGTACTCAACTTTTTCAGTATTTAAAAATGTGTTTTGAATAACATAAAAGTCTCTTTATTGTATAAATAATAAAATGTCACCTTATTGTAAAGTGTCTTTTGTTTAATATCAAAGCAGATTTCTTAGCCAGAGTTGTAGCGTGAAAAAGGCATGTTTCTTTTAAACCAAAAACATAACCATTATAAGCAATATTTGAAAAATATAACTTTTATTATGGACATGTAGCTATTGATCCTTGTTAATAAGCAACGGTTTTTTTCCCCCATAATATGAGCATGTCTCAATCACCCAAAAGCTACCTACCTACCTATCTGTCTATATAGATTAATATACATTCTGTTGATTGGCTACTTAATAGATTCACATGGTAAGTTTCATAATGACTGATCAGCCTACTTCTGGTATTTTTTGTGTAAATAAAAATGTTTATATTTTATTTTTACTAAATCAAGTTAACCTATAACAAATTCTCTTTTAGAAAATTACCACATTAACTATAGGTTCAGTCTTATGAAGATTAGAAGCAAATTTGAAAAGTAAGACTCTGGAAATAAAAAAGTTGCACAAATTTAGAGTAGAACACACCAAAAGAATAGATTATGTGTACAAATACCTGCTTAGTAAGTATTTAAGAAAGTATATGTCAAGATTTCTAAGTACTATACGTTATTAGTTATACTCTGTTGCTGATATCCATAGAATTAATGAAATAAGGTCTTCAGTACTTAAAAAGAACAAAAGGTATTTTTAAACACTCATACTCGGAGGTAAAAATATGTAGATCCAATCTCTTTAAATTTCTTGAATCCAGAAGTACTAGATTATTGTATAGAAACTTATTACCAAGATATAAAAAAGAATAGACATATTATATATTAATGCATGCATTTCATTGAAAGTTTTAAATTCAAAATTGTGAGGACAATTATAACACTTTTACTGTTTTCTCTACCAATAACTACATCTCATGTAACATTTCTGACAAAATGGTTTCATAAGATATGAGCAAAAGGCTAGAAAAGAAACATTTCAACTGGATTAAAACAAAAACAAGACAGTGAATATTAATTTAAAACTTATACCAAGACTAACCATATTACATAAGTCTTACCATGGGTAAGGAAAAGTCTTATTTTTTTAAACACCAAAGAACAGTTTGGAATAAAATTCAATTCAATTTTGTATGTAACAAAAAGGAAGAAATTAGATGGTCATATTCAAATCAACTGGTCATGTTATATGTAACACAAAGAGAAATGGGGAGAAAAAGCCCACTTCTACAAAAATGGTTTATCATTATAAAACTATTAAACTTCATTAAATAAAAACTCACTTTTGAAGAAACTGCTATCTTATAAGGAATGAAAGTAAGATAAATCTTCTGCAAAACAATCAAAATAAATGCATTAACACTGTATGTGGTTATCACCTTCATAAATGCACACGATACCTTAGAAAAACATTACTTATCAATGTTAAGAAGTCTAAGAATTAACATGATCATGCTTATGAAACAACTCCAGTTTAAGTAGGAATCCGGTCTCTCAAATATTCCAGAATAGCAGCTGTCCCTTTCATCAATATGGCTGCTCGAGGAACTCGGAATGGATTTCCATCCAGTAGTAATGTTCTAAACAAAAGAGAGTATTTATAGTATTATTTCAACTTTTTCCATTAGGGAGGCTTTTCTTCTAATTTCATTTGCAATTATTTAAATAAAATGTATGTATTTTTTTCTGCTTGTCCCCTTTCAAATCTAAGCATTTCAATAGGTGGAATTAGAACTACGATAATAACCCAAACAACATTAAGTGAATACTTATTATATGAAAGGTACTGTACTGAGTAACTTATATTCACCGACTCTCTTAATCACCTTACAACCCTATGGTGTAGACAGCATTAATATTCCTATTTAATAGATAAGGACGCATAAGTTGTGAGAGGTAAGAAAGACATATCCAAGATCATTTAGCTATTAAACAAAGGAGCTGTGAACCACCATTTTACCCATCTTCTCCATCTTATAATGACCATATACAACATGGTCCAGTCATACTCACACGTATTGACAAGTACCCTCACCAAGGACTGTAATGTAGTCAATATATCCCCTCTCCATCCTGGGAAACGTTAACACATGTCTGCTCTCTGCCTTGCTTGACCAGATACCCATGCAAAATCTATTCACATATGCTGAAACAATGTTCAATTTAAGATCTGAGGCCTGGTTGATTTGTTTCTTTATATAATTAATGAAATAAATTATAAAGAGACTTTTAATTTTCAAACGAGTGTGTAAAGTCAAACAACTCACACCATATTATGCAGTAGATCTAAATTATATCTTCAGTATTTTTATGGTCCATGGGGATTCTTTTAAAGGCTGATTTTCTTTATTTATAAAAAGGAGTTAATACAGTCAATCCTTCTTATGCACAGACTCCATATGCGCTAACTTGCCTACCACTAGAATTTATTAGTAACCCTAAATTGATATGCATCGCACTTTCGAGGTCATTTTTGGATACCCGAAGGCAGCAAAAAATTTGAGTCAATCAATAAGCACCTTCTCAGCTGAGGTTAAACAAGATGATGTTCTCCCTTTTTGTGTCAGTTCTCATAATCAAGTGTCCTTTCTGCGGTCTCCTTAACACAACATTTTTTGCATTTTTGTACTTCATGTGTGTGAGATGTTTAAAATTGGCCAAGTGTGGACTGAAGTGTCGTCTAGTTTTCCTAAACACAAGAGGGCTGTCGTGTGCCTTACAGAGAAAATACGTGTGTACGAAAAGCTTCTTCAGGCATAAATTATAGTATTATCTGGCTAGTTAAATGTTAATGAATTAACATTAAATACAGAAACATACAGAGAACAAGGTTATGTATTGAGTGGTTCATGAGTATTTGACCAGAGGCTCGAAATATTCTATACTAACTATATACTCCTAACTCTATACTTCCCAAGCAATAATGGTGCAGTATTCATGAATCTGGTGCTCACAGAGACTTTAGAATACAGCCACTGCACAGGACGAGAACCAACAGTATTTTACTCCTACAAACACCAATACGAGGTAGGAAAGCAGATGCCAGTGCGCCCTAATATGCCAAACCACCATCAGTTTCAACAACTAAATTACTTCTGAAACATTCTGCTTAAGCACTTGGCTTTCTGTTGACATCTCAAACTCACTTTATATTCATTTAACCAGCACTTATTGGGTGCTTACTGTGTTCTAGGCACTGGGACAACTCTTTTCTAAAGGAGGTAAAAGAAATGGTATAAATGTCCAAAAAAGCAGGATAGAAAATCAGAGGAGGGAGTGACTGTGTGGAGAAAAGGGAAGGTTTTCAAAGATGATATTTAAGTTGATTACTGATAAAATTTTTTTGCAGGGTAAAGGCATTTGAGGCTGAAGTAACAGCTAACACAAAGAATAAGGAAGACCATGCTGGGCTTGAGATAAATGGTGCCAGTCTGTAACAGATTTTGAAAAACCTTACATACACAATTGACATTTTTACGCAGCGAAGTTTCAAGTTATATACACATACAGTGACGACAAAAGTATCTCAAAACAATCAGTTACTACACTATATTACACCATATAAGCAAAACTAAAAATTTTATATTTGCTAAAACCTGAAAAGCAGAATTGGTACTGTGGATTTTGTTACCTGTTATTTTTAACACATCAAATTTTTACTTCAACAGTCCTGTAAAAGTACAATAAGAGAAAAAAAAAAACCCTTACAAATGAATAAAATCAATGGAAAAATTTCGTAGAATGGTGTGGCTACCTTAGGTTCACACAATTACCAAGCTCTGGTGGAATTTGTAGGAGGTCATTATTCTGAAGATCCAGTGTGATCAGATTTTCCATTGCCTTTATTTTCTGAGGGTCCACAGATCCAACCTGATTGTTACTAATCAAAATTGTTTCAAGTGTGGGGATGTGATACAGAACTTCAGGTAGTATTTTGAACCTATTAAAATATGAACAGAACACCGAAATATATTAGAATCAAAGCAAAATCATTCCTTCAAACAGACGATCTAAGTCCGTTATCATGGTGTAGTTTTCTTTAGTGTAATTTATTTTAATATTTGGTATAAGTCCTATCTTCCAACTGTCAAGAAAATCAACTGATTTTGGAAACCTTGAAATATATGTTAAGTGGACAGATTTGTAACATTTTCTACTTATTGTGTAAATCCAACAATGTTTTCTTCCTATGTTTTTCTCTTCACATTTAAGAAACAAGGAAATCCTCCTGAGATTCTCTCTAAAATGTCTCCATGTAGGTATTCTTTAGTTCACTTTTACTTCTTATGAGACAGAATTACTGCCAATATATGAAGTAAAGGTTAGAGATTTGTATTTTGCTTTGACTGAAGCTTCCAAATGAGTGTATTCTTGGTTCTTGAAAAGATGACAAACTAATATAGGCTGCTGCTTCCTTATCCAAAGCAACACTGAAGATGTCAAGAAAGAAGGGAAGGCTGACGGCTCTCAGCAATTAATGCCACATTATTGAGGATCTTTTGGGGGACAGAGGCTGGTTTGGTTTCAGTGTGAGATAAACTGTGGCATGGACTAGAGAAGACAAGGGATAGGCTGAGGGAGAGTTTTATAATTGTGGGCTTTTTATTTCCACATACTGGCCTTCTTTTACTGCCTTGATAAAGAAAGGAAGGAAGGAAGAAAGGAAGGAAGGAAGGAAGGAAAAGAAGGAAGGAAGGAAGGAAGGAAGGAAGGAAGGAAGGAAGGAAGGAA